CAGAGAAGGCCAATCTGGCTGAACTCAGTGGTATATTGTGTGGGGATTTGTGATGAGGGCAGGTGTGTTCCAAAGAAGAGAGAGACCAGGAAATTAAATCAATCAGAGAGTAAATACAGCTATTCAGAAAAGAGAAACAAACACACAGATCCATTTTCAGTATGTTTCTCTGATAAACTTACCATTGACACAGTGCTGTGTGCATATGCAAAAATGCCATGTCAGTCCCCCTCACTTGTCTTTAGAGCTGGGTGGGAAACAGAACTCCTGCCCCAGGATAATTTTTGAGAATTTAAAATATGGTTTGGTCCACATTTGGGATTAAATGTCAAAATCTTGCAATTTTCTAAAATGAAATAATTCAAAATATTTTATTTAAAAAACATAAAACTGTTTTTGTTTAAATGTGTGCATGTACAAATCCACACACCCCGACCCCCAAGGAGAGGAGGAGAGACAGAGATCTGGGAGCCCTCTGCAAACCATGCATTGCAGGGAGTGTGTATATATGCCCAGGTTGCTCCCAGAAAGCAGTGTGATATGCAGCTGTCTGGGGTTCAGCTTCTCCCCTGCAGGTGGCATGGGACAGACAGCAGAACAGCCACCCCACAGCGGTCAGCCTCCTGGGGACACTCAGATGGGCTGAAAGCAGCAGAGCAGGGCTGGGGGGTATACAGTGGGCAGTCAGGTGGGAGCCCGCCAGATGGACTGAGCCTGGTGTAGCCCCATGGGGCACACCAGTCCCGGGCTGTGCTTGCAGCCTCACTCACAGAAGCAGATGCCACTGATACAGCTGCAGCTTGAAGGCCAGCCTGGGGATCAAGGGGTGGTGGGGCAAAAAGAGTTACACTCCACTGTGATTTGATTGCCTTTGAGGGACCTGTCCAGGATCCAGCCCAGCCCTATGCAGAACTGTGGCTCAGGGTATATCTGGGCTTCCTGGGAGTAGAAGGGAGGGTGCTGTATGTTGGGGCCACTTGGCTCAGCAGCTGACTTCAGCGTGAGGGGACTGACAGGCTCAGGGATGACCTGGGATGTGCTACATGGGGGCAGGAGGGGTCAGGGGAGTCCCCAACTGGTTGCTCTGAAGGCAGTTCTGGCACTGCTCTGCACTGAGGGCAGGGCTGGCATGGTAGGTGGCTAAGCCCTGGCAGGGGCTGGTAAGATCTGTTCACACCTGGGAAGGGCAGGAGCTGCTGACCCCCCCCCCCCATGTCTCCGCACCTCCCTCACCATGTGGATGCACATGTATGCACTCTCAGTTCCGAGCCTGTGGCTCCCAGGAGCCCTTATAGCGGAGTGGGACAGGGTGGGACAGTGCAGGGAGGTTTGTGGCTGAGCTACATCTCTGACACATGGAGGCTAGCTAGGAGTGGCCCCTGTGCGGCATCAGCCTGCACTGCATTAGCCTGCGGTGCACAGCCACACAGCACTCTCCCCTCCCTCCCCCCCTGCCGGTCATTGGCAGCTGCCCATACCTGCAATGCACAGTCCAGGCCTTGGCAGGGCACGAAGCTGCTGGTGGAGGGTGGCCATCCTGGCTCGCTCCGTATGGGTGATCAAGCCCCGGCCCCGCCCCTTCCACCCTGATCCTTGCTCCAGGCAGGTGGAGCAATGCTCAGCCCAGCTTCTCCCCTGCCTCCAGCTGCTGCTCAGGAGAAGCTGGGCTGGGCTGGGCTGTGGGGGAGGTGTTTTACAAGCCTTGGTGCACCACATCTTTTGCTTCAATTCTTACCAACTGATGGCCAACAAAATCTGGGACTGTTCTGGCCAAACCAGGAGATATGGTCACCCTATTTATAGGTGTTATTTATATTAATTCATACTAGGTTACTAGGAATGAATAGTGATATTTAAAGCAAGTATTCCCATACCTTTTAACCCATAAGGGCTTGTTACTTAAATGTTCTACATATGCAAGCTACATTGTAGAGCGTTAGGGGCTGGATGTTAGGGGCTGAAAGGGACCTTACAAGATCATTAGGTCTAGCCCCCTCTGCACATGGGCAGGAAAGACTGCAAGGTGAGCATCAAGATGCTTTTTGAAGATCGCCAGGGTGGGTGACTACCACTTCTGGGGGGAGTCTGTTCCAGACTCTCAGCATTTAACTTGTAAATAAGTTTTTCCTTCTGTCCAATCTGAAGTGATCTTCAATCAGCTTGTGCCCATTGTTTCTTGTCTTCCCCTGGGTCGTCTTGGTGAACAGATGCTCCCCCAGGCCCTGATGTACACCCCTAGTGTATTTATAGGCTGCCACCAAGTCCCCTCTGAGTCTTCTCTTCTCCAGGCTGAACAGTCCCAAATCGTTTAGCCTCTCCTCATGTGACCTGGTCTCTAGGCCTTTAATCATATGCATCGCCCAGCCTCTGGACTCCCTTGAGCTTCTCCACATCCTGCCTGAAGTGCGGCACCCAGAACTGGAGGTAGTACTCCAGCTGCGGTCTCACCAAAGATGAGTAGAGTGGGAAGATGACATCCTTAGTCTTGCTCAAGATGCACTGATAGATATATGCCAGTGTTTGATTTGCCCTGCCAGCTACGGCAGGAGGTGGCTTGTGTTCATTCTGTGGTCTATCACGACACTCAGGTCTCTTTCAGTTGAGGTGCGGGCAAGCATAGCACTGCCTAACCTGTCAGTGTGCTGCAGATTATTTTTCCCCAGATGGAGCATGTTACATTTCTCTGTAGTAAATGTCGTTAGGTTAAGATCCACCCTCCTCACAAGCCTGTCCAGGTCAGCCTGTATTACCAGCCTGTCCTCGAGTGTGACCATGCTCCCCCATAATTTGGTGTTGTCCGTGAACTTTGGCAGTTTGCTTTTAATATCTGAATCGAAATCGTTGATAACATGTTGAAAAGCACTGGTCTGAGTACTGAAACCTGAGGGACACCACTGGTCCCCTTCCAACATGTTGACTCAGTTATGTCTATTAATACACCCTGGGTCCTACCTCGGAGCCAGTTACCTAGTCGCCAGACGGTAAAGTAGTGGAGGCTGCATTTTCCCAATTTTACCATGATGACATTGTGGGAAACTAGGTTGAAGTCTTTTTTGAAGTCCAAGTATATGACATCAACCTCACTTCCCCTATCCAGGTGGCGAGTTACTTGATCGTAGAAGCAAATGGGGTTGGTTAGGGATGACCTGCCTGCAATGAAGCCATGTTGGTTATATTTTAGAATACTGCCTTCTGTTAGCCTATCAATAATTGTAATGCTCTCACTTATAGGTCATGTTGTTTTTCTCAAGTGCCTGTGTAGTTGGGTCTCCCCTTGACTCCCCTGCCACAATTCTGATGGTAATGAAATTAACAGGAGGGGTTCAGTGTTATGAATAAAGAGGCCCCAATTGGGGTACTCTTGGTTCTGGAAGTGGTTGGCTCTGGGGCTCCACCTCCCCTGCACCCTAGCCACACGCCAACTGTTGGTGTCGAGACAATCGAATATGATGCAGGCCTCTAGCCTGATTCAGCTATGGTATGTGTCAATTCTGTCAGTGTTGTCCTGGCCTCCTTAGGACTGCCTCCTTAGTTCTTGCATTCAGAGGGCTAATACCTAAGTTGAGCCCTAGATAAGGGCTTTAGGTGGGTCTTGATCCTAACAGCCCTTCAAGTAATGTGGCAAAGTAAAATGAAAAACAAACAAAGAAAAGCCTCCACACTGGAGTGGTTCCTTTTCCTGGGCAAAATGCCCCTGCAGGCTTTGAGAAACTCTCTCTACTCCCTATGGGAGTTCTATCTAGCAAAATATTGAGGCTTAGCTTTCCAGCCTCCGCACAACGGAGTCCTCTTGACTCCATGCTAATTGAGCCCTTGTGGCTCCGGCACTGTGCTGCCTTGGTGCCCCAAAGCTGCATCTGACCCTGCCTCAGCTGGCCCTGAGGCAGTTCCTCCCTCCTCCCTGCTGGTGCTGAGTGACTTTTAAATTCCTCACAGCAGTGCCGGAGGCTGACGTCATTAGCCTGGCACCACCCAGGTTGATTGACAGGGAGCTTTTAAACGGCGGCAGCAGCACCACATGGCACTGCAGCTCCACTTATTCCTGCCTCCCTGGTAAGTTGTTTTGCTTGTTGTGGGCTTGTTTGGCCCATACAGGGTGCATGGGCCAGCTGGTGGGGTGTGTCGGGCCCCTTTCATCACAATAATGGATTCTTTGATAATTTTTTCCAGCATTTTACCAGGGATTGAGATCAAGCTGATTGGCTTGTAATTCCCTGGGTCCTTTTTTCTCCCTTTCTTGAAGAGAGGCACCACAGTAGCCCTCTTTCAATCTTCTGGGACCTCTCCCAAATGCCATGAGTCTTCAAATAACTTTGCCGTAGGTCACGTGATGATTTTGGCCAGTTCTTTTAACACTATTGGGTGTAGTTCATCCGGTCTTGCTGACTTGTGGATATTCAGCCTCTCTAGGGGAACCCCCACAAGATTTTTGCCAACTATGGAAGGGTGATCACCCCCACCTTGCTCATCCTGTATCCTGTTAAGCAGGCTAACACCCTCAGATTGGTAGAATACCGATACGCAGTCTTTGTTTAGAAGTTCGGTTTTGTCCTGAGTGTTGGTTATCAGCTGTCCAGTTTTGTTTGTCAGGGGCCGTATTAGTTTCTTTGTGTTTATGTTTAAAGGCAATTTGCATGTACAAATGGATGCATCTGTAAAACTTTTGTCTGCCATTTTGAAGCCGATTTGAAAATCTCACTGAAGCCAAACTGGAGGCGTAAAATGAAGCTGAAAACTATTTATAGCATTTTTTTTTGCTAAGATTGAAAATATTTGATTTCTATTGAATGAAAAAAGCTACTGTTGGGTTTTTTGGCTGCAGCACTCTCAGAGAATACTCTTCGATTTGCAAGTTTATTTCAGAATATTTTAGTGGAACTTAAAGTTAGGAGGAAGAAATATATGGCTCTCTTTCTGCTACTATAATAATGTGTTAAAAGTCTTGCGGGCTATCATAACAAGCTGGACATCTGCTATAGCAACCGTTGGAATATGACGGAATGAATAGCATCAATAATATTAACTTCTTTATGGGAAATCAGAAAGAAAAAGTAGCCTTTGAAATGGAATCTATTTATATGTTGCTTTTGCTGTGGTCTGTACCTTACTCCCAAGCTAATGACAGTTACCACAAGACGGTAAGAATGCATCCTTTGAATGTCTTTACTTGTTAAAACACTTTGATCAGTGATATTAAAATTAGACTGCAGAAAAAAAATATTCAAGCTTTCTAGTAAAATAATCTAGAATCTGCTTATGGTATTCTTGTATTTTCCTGTAAACTGCAGTGGATGCAAATAGTTGAAATAAATCTTAATCCATGAACCATAATCCATGGCATCATGAAACATCGACTCTAATCCTGGAAAGTTTCATTCAGAAGACCAGTCATACTGAAACCAATGGTATTACTAGTGCATGGAGATTTTCAGGATTGGATCGTTTCATTAATACCTAGAAAAGTTATAAAAGTTCCAATTTTAATTAATAGATTTTTTCAAAATCCTGAAAGTTATCCAGATAAAGCATGAGTCTAGTGTGTACATTATTGTTTGTGATTTGACATTTCATGCATGAACAGTCTTTATAGAGCAGGGGCTGGCAATTATTTTGGATGGAGGGCTGCTTACTGAGTTTTTGGCAAGCCATTGAGGGCCACATGACAGGCAGCCAGGGGCAGATAAATATTAATTTTCTACATTTTTTAGGGGCCCCGTGGGCCGGATAGAATGGTTTGGCAGGCTGCATCCGGCCCCCAGGCCGCATTTTGCCCACTCATGGTGTAGAAGAATATGGTGCATAATTCCAGTGAAATATGGACCTCCTCATTTTCAAGCAACCACTCATACAAATTAATTTGATACTTTTAATTTGATACTTTTTTACAAATTAATTTGATATTTTTCCCTGTGCATAATGTATAATACATTTAAAATTGTCCAAAATATTTGGTAGTCATCTGTTCTTAGTAAATAAAACCATCCTTACAAATTACTTGCTTCTTTTTTTTCCTGCTTTCTGGTTTTTTGGTTTGTAGATTCATTGTGCTTGCATGCTAGATATTTCTGTTTACAACACATTGTATTATCAGCTGACAGGGCTTCCAGCTGCAGGGGTGCACCTTGCCCAGCATGAAATCCCCAAGCCCTGGGGATCACCACTGATTCCCATGTTAGGAGTGAAAGTTTTGGTGCATTTTGAGTCCACAGTTCTAGTTTTGAGCATTTGTAGTTGCCCCAGACTAAGAACCTTTGAGAAAGGAGTGAGCTCTTCACCTGCTGTGATGTAATGGGCCTAGGTGATAAGTCTGAGCATGCTCAGTGTAAGGAGTTTGATAATTTGCTAATACCCAAGGCTTGGAGGCGTGTGAAATCATGCATTGTGTGGATCATGCATTAAATCCAGTCTCACCTTTACTTGCATATGCAGAGAGGGTCATGTACTCTTTTACCAGAATGGAGATTTTCCTTAGCGAATTTGGTCTCCCCTTATTTTAATGTAGTTTGCTGTTAATTTGGCTACTGTTCTTCACCGAGGGTTGTATTCTGGCAATTTATTCCTGTAAGAGCAAGATATTCTTTAGGTTGAAAGATGTGAGCTCATACCATCTTCAGAGCTCACAATTAGTTTTTTAATATGTCTTGTTTTTTCACTTAGATTCGTTTACATGTTTCAATGGAGGTGAGTGTGTACAAAGAGAGCTCTGTGACTGTAGTCGATTTAATGCAACTGGATCAAGATGCCAAACAGGTATGTAGAAAAAACCTGTTACAATGCACCATTGTCCAGATGTGGTTTGTAAGAGACCAAGAGTTAACATGACTATGTTACATCTTGCTATTCTGCTTCCCATGAGTTTGATTGAGATACGTTTTAAGTGTTGGAAGTGTCCTACTTCCTCAATTCTGCAGGACTGTAATCCTAAAGACAAATGCATCATGTGCCTTGGCATTTAGTTTTTCAGTCCAAAAACATTATTTGTTTTCATATTATCTTTTTTGTCTGTTTAGTGTATAACACAGGTGCTGAAAGAGATCACATATGTCGAACATGGGGTCAATACCATTTTGAAACCTTTGATGGACTCTACTATTATTTCTCTGGGATGTCCACATATGTACTTGTGAGACGGAATGAATTAGATGAACAGAGTTTTTCAATACAGGTTGGTGACTGCATTTTTTAAGTTCACTTCATGCAGTGATTGGACATACTCATAACTGATGAGTTTACAATGGTAAAATGATATATAGAAAAGCTACATGGTTAGAGAATTGCATTAAAATCATGGGCCAGGTCTGTGATTTGTTTAGCACCTACAATTCCTAAATGCAATGGAAGGTTGCTCTTGAAATCGCTCTTGAAATCGGATCAAGTGATACCAGATGTGTGAACATTTTACATTCTATGTATATTAAGGGTTCCTGCCTCTCATTGGAGTTTCCAAGCACCATAGTTACATAATAAAGCCATGTATTTTTGAAAAAGTAGTTGATGTTGGATATAAACACATTTTTCACAACCCCAAGCCACTACTGAAACTCTCAAGAAGCTGAGCCATCATTTGCCATTTGTTAAAAATGGTTCTACTGAATGTATTATTTCTAGGGACCTACTGAAATCAAGGCAGCAGACGGGTGATTTCTTAGGTCAATCACAGCATAGCCACCATTTTTTCAGTCTTATTGTGGCAGAGCCCCCCTATGCCTCTGACTGGCCAAGGGGGCCCAGTGGCCCCACCCCTCACTGCTGAATGGCCTAAAGACTGGCTGTCATGCCACCCTGCCCCTCACTGCTGATTGGCTGAGAGGGTTGTCTGTCTTGTGGCCTTGCCCCTTGCCACTGATTGGCAGAGAGGGGTGGGGCTTCATAACAGGCAACCCTCTCAGCCAGTCAGCGGTGAGGGACAGAGGGGGCAACTGTCATCTTGGGTGCTCCTTCTTGTGCTGGCAGCTCCCCCTCCTTCTCCCCACCCCCTTCTTCCCCAGCAGACTGCGAGGCCATGCTGCAGTGGCTATGACAACTACTGGTTCCAACATGGATTACTTTTTCAAAAATACATGTCTTTATTATGAAACTACGGGGCTCCAGCATTTTATTTTTAGTAAGTTAGCTTGGTTTTGTTTTTTTGATTTTGTGGATTTTGCAGGCATTGTCTTATTTCGCTGATTCTGCAAAATCCACAAAATTATTAATTATGTCCCTAATTATTTCAAATACAATCTTTTATATGAGATTTATTATTTTAATATATATTTAGTTTAGAGTTGGAATATTATAGTCATGATGGTTCAGGACATATACAAGAAGCAAGATTATTTTGTTATATCTTTTATTGAACCAATTGTACAGTTGGGAGAGCTGGTGGAAAAGCTTTGAAGTACCAAGTGCCTTTCCTCAGGTGGAGGAAGTCCCTTCCCTAAAAAGTATTTTAGTCAGTTAGTGGGAAGCCAAAACTTGTCAGAGGAAGGGGAATGAGGAAGATTTGGATATTTCAGATAAGTAATCAGACTGAAACCTGAACATCCTCTGGTTCACCATGCCTAACAAAACTGTTCTGTATATTGAACACTATATTGGTGCTATCAAAAGTATATTGATTACTGTCTGATACAAATAGATGGTCACATAGGACGATTTAATTCTAGCTTGATTGCACATAGAAGCACTTCCTCTTTATGCAAGGTAGCGTTACTCTTAGCAGGCGTGCAGAAACCCAAGACCTGGAGACTAGGGGCATTTGTACACATGCATGCACCATAGCAGTGGGTGCTTTAAAAGGACCCAGTGCTGTGGTGCATGATGTTGTTTAAGTGGTGAAATGTGCACCAGCACTGAGAAAATCATAGTGGCATGCTTTTGAACTAAAACACATTAGAGGTGCTGTAATTCAAAAGTGCACCGCCGCGATTTTCTGCGTGCTGATGTGCATTTTGCCACTTATACAACTGCATGCGGTGTAGTGCAGTTTGCATCAGCTTGCATGTAGACGCATCGTGGGATGAAAACGTCTGTGTATAAATGCCCATGAAGACTACACTATTCTCTTACTTCTCTCACCTCTTGATTGTGCTTGTGGGATATTATTTGGGCACCAATGGAAAATATTGAGACCGTTACTGAAAGCTTATTTTTCCTCCAATAATTTGGCAGGTTCATAATGACCCGGAATGTCAAAGTTCTCCATATTCTTGCAAAAGGTCCGTTAGCTTATTCTTTTCTGGAGATGAAGAAATAAAGTTGAGCAGTGAGGTCACCTACAGAGGACTTGGGTAATTACATTTACATTCACCGTGCTATACAGTATTTTTAGATTTAATTCATTTTCATTGTATCATTTTGACAAACATAGATATAAGCAATATCACTTATTAGCATCTAAAAGAAAAATAGGCAGAGCGTATTTTTAGAAATATTCCTAGAGTTAGAAATATTCCAGCAGTTAAGTGTGCTGCCAATTTTATTTCAGAAAAAAAAGTGTGTATCAAGATATCAACATTTTGGGAAACACTGCCTTAGCCATTTAAAGTCCTTGCATTGACAGTAGAATTCCTTTTCATTCTCAGTTTTCAGGCTACCAGACTGATAATGACATTGTAGCTGCCGCTCCCTATAATATTCCCTCCAAGTGCACTAGGAAGCAGGTTGTCTTCAAGGGGTCATCTGACAGTATGTTGCATCTCAGTGCTATAGGAAGGTAGCTGGTCAGTTTATGGAGTAGTTCCTTGGAGAATGACATTTTAATTACACTGTGGCATTAAAGACATGAATGCAGAACGTTTTTGTTTTGAATACAAGGGATTAAATTCTGCTGTTACCTACAAACCTATTAATATATGAAGTAACTCAATCGAAGCTAATGTCAGTGTAACTTGGAGCACAGGTTTCCTAAAAATAGCAAAATCATTAAATTAATAAATTGTAATTTCTATATGAAATGTCTTTGCTTGTTTGTCTTTAATTCTGCTTGTTTTGCAGAGTAAAATTACCCCAAGTTATAGGAAATGTGCACATCCAAAAACTAGCTGGGTATATCCTAGTTAGACATCAGTATGCATTCACTCTGGCTTGGGATGGTATATCTGCTGTCTATATTAAAATGACTCCAGACTATTTGAGTAAAACACATGGGCTGTGTGGAAACAATAATGCTGTCTTGCAGGATGATTTTGTGACTAGTTATGGTGAGTATTTAAAATTCTTGTTATGCTGTACTATAGATTTACTTCATTTTAAGTTTTCATGGTTAAAAGTTGTCTTCAGTTAGTGGAGACATTATGGTAATCTTAATTGAATCTGAATTTGAAATAAAATATCATAACACTTCTGCCAGGCATTATCCATAGTAAAAATGGTTGTGCTCAGTATAATTTCTATGGCTGGAATCTCTTTTAAAATACACTAAACATTTGGGTCAGGGACCATCCTGGAACTGTATTTGTACTTCAGGTTTTAGAAACTTAAAAGGTAAATGTGTTTTTACTTCTAATAGTGTTCCTTTCAGTAAGTGGAAATAGGAGTCTTAGCAAGAGGAGAGGAGGGCAGGCTTGATTGTGGGGGTGGGGAGGGAAGAAGAAAGGATTGGGTCTCTCACTGCTTCTGCCTTCAGCAGGCTCCTGCAGCTGTCAGGATGTCTGGGGCCACCCAGGAATGGACTTGTTGCCCCTAGGGAAGTGCAGGGAGGTGGCACGAGGGTGGCTGGGTTTGCTGGTGGCCGGACAAGGTAGCAAGGATGGTGCATGGGGTGCGGGGCTGCCCAAGTGGGCTTCTAGCTCTCTGAGTGCTGCCCCAGCTCAGAGGCGCATGCTCCAATGCTTTCCCAAGCCTGCCCGGGCTTCCAGTGCCCCGTGCACCATCCCTCCTGCCTTCTCTGGCTGCCAGCACACCCAGCTTGCCCCTGGGCCAGTGTGGGGATGTGGCAGGAGGGCCGGCTGGGTTTGTTGGCAGCTGGAGAAGGTGGTAGGGATGGTGCACAGGGCACTGGAAGCCTGGGTGGGCTTGGCGAAGCATTGGATTGGGCTCTTCTGAGCTGGGGCAGTACCTGGCCACCTAGAAGCTTACCTAGGCTTCCAGTGCCCTGTGTACCACCCCTGCCACTTTCTCCAACTGCCAGCAAACCCAGCTGCCCTCCTGCCACTTTCCTGCACTGCCCCAGGGGAAAGCCAGGTTGTTCCTGGGTGGCCCCAGGTGTCCTTCCAGCCGCAGAAGCCTGATTAAGGCAGAACTTTTGAGGGGCCGGATCCTTTTTTTTTTTTTTCCCCTGCGGACTGCAGCCGAGGTGGGGAGGGGGCAAGCTGACAGCTGCATCGTTGCAATTTGCAACATTGCAACTAAATTACATCCCGAAGTAGTTTAGTTTTGCAATGATAAAAACTTATTTTAAACATCCCAAACTCTTGCACATGTACAGTGTGATGCCACTAAGCCACACAGTGACATTTTCATCTTGTGTACATGGTAATGGTGTCACGTGTCCAAGCACCCACAGACACAGCAACACTTATCAGCTCAGTTCTTCCCCTCTGTTCCTCTTATGCTCCCATGGCTGGCATGAGGGGCCATGGTGGTAGTTATTGGCATGCAAAACCCTGCAGGAGCAGCCTTAGCAGTGGGGTTTGCCCTTGTTCCCTGAAGTATAGATCAGGGGTTGGTGGGGGTTGCAGCAGGGCAGACAGTGAAAAGAGCAGGGCACAGCAAGGGGAGGTGGAACCAGTTAGATCAGTAATTTTCTTTTTTTTTTGGCTTCAAAGCTTTTCCTCTACATCTTTTTTGAATTTAGAAATGTCTCTCTGATTTTCAGCTGGGGTACCATGAAATTCAGGAAAAAGATGTTTTTAAAGAGTATATCTCAGACTGGTATGATTTCCTTTGGCAGGGGAATGGCATATGTTATTTGTTTTGAAAAAAAATATGCACACATACATGCCTCTTCTCGGGTGTAAGGGTTAAGTGCAGAGCCAATTTTAATCCAGGAAAAAAGCGTGTATCAAGATATCAAAATTTTGGGAAACACTGCTTTAGCCATTTAAAGTCCGTGCATTGACAATAGAGCTCCTTATCATTCTCAGTTTCCAGGCTACCAGCCTGATAATGACATTGTAGCTGCCCCTCCCTACAATATTCCTTCTAAGCGCACTCTTCTAGGCATTTATAGGAAGCAGGTAGTCTTCAAGGGGTCATCTGACAGTATGTTGCATCTCAGAGCTGTAGGAACGTAGCTGGTCAGTTATTACTAACTCTTTAACTTCCAGTCACCCCCCGATATGGTTATTAAGAACATTGTGGTAGCTAGATGGAAGGTGCTATAGAAATGTAGTTATTGATGTTTTGTCAGATTACAGCATTGATATTTGTGCGCATTTTTTCTTTTATTCTAAAGGAAAATTGACGGAAGACATCGTAGAATTTGTTGAGAGCTGGAGGGAAAATTCTCCACAAGGTGCTCCCAAAGAGGAGGACTCTTTTAACTATGAGCCACCCTGTCTGATGCAAAGCCAAGTCTCTTTGCAGGTTTGGATCAAAATGAATGATGACAATTAACTTAGCTTGTAATTCTTATAAGGCCCAAACTGGAGGTGCTGCTCAATTTGACCTTTGTTGTAAGAATGTTTTTGAACAAAGGCAGATGTCTTAAGGCAATCTGGAAGGTAGGCTTCAAAAGAGACTGTGAAGCAGGAGTACCCTGCTTCCGAAGTTGTTATTCCTGCAAGCTGATCACTACAGCATATCATTGTAGCACTAACTGCCTGGAGGACTTTGTGTTTCTTAAGGGATGCAGTTTTTAGGCTTGTGTATTTAAAGATCTGTCTCTCATAGCTTACAAGAGCTTTGACAAGATTCTCTTCCTTTATTTCTGTGAAGGTAGGTATAGAGAGGAAGATTGGGTTTGTGGAAGAAGATATTTCTCACATCCTCTTTTCTTCCCTTCCTCTTCAAAGATGCATGCATGTCTGGAAAAGGGATTAGAATGGTTGATGGAGTGGGGTTTTCCTTGTTCTTTTTTCATCTACTTTTTCTTTAAAGTTTCTTATTTGGTCTTTAAATCTTCTGGCATATATGGAGTGAAATCCTCTATATCTGGTTCCAATGTTTTAATCAGATTAAAGATTTTTTTATTTTGGAGGGACCAAGTATGTCATCTCTGTAATCAAGATGGCAGGAGGAGGGGAAGGAGGGAGGGGGCAGAACGTTAGCATGCCTGTAGACATGCCAGGAGGCTGCTCTGATGTGGTGTAATTATACATACTTCAGCCTAATTAGCACAGTCTAGCCAGCCTCTGCATATTGTGTATCAGTGTCCCTGCACTTCAAAATAGCAGCAGGGACACTTTAGTTAAACCTTGTTCAGTGACCTTTGGTTAAAGCATCCCTGCTGCCACTTTGATGCTGCAGCACTGTAATTGGAGTGGCTCTCTGAGAGGGTCTAATTAAAGCACCCTACCCCCCACCCCCAGAGCATGTATAGAAACATCCTTAAGCCCAAAGTTCTATCAGTGAAATGTACTAAAAAGGGGTACAGTTCTAAGTCTCTCCTTTTGCAAAACTTCCTTCCCTTTCCTGAAAATTTCAGAAAACAAATGAAGGCTAATCAGTAAGTGGCAGCATTGATGGATTAGTTTTTTACCCTTTTTGCCTTCCCCATTCTACCAGTTGGTTCCTTTTAAAGGTCAATTGGCAGTACCACCTAAGAAGGAATTGATGAAATGAACAAATACAAAAAAAAGGGAATGACTGGCTAGACTGCAGTACTGGAGTAAAAGGATCTGGGGGGTTATCATGGACTATAAACTGAATACGACTAAACTAGGATGTATTAACAAGAATATAGTATGCAAGTCTCAGGAAGTGATTTGTTCACTCTATTTGGCACTGGTGAGGCCTCATCCATAGTACCATGTCCACTTTTGGGTATTGTACTTCAAGAAAGATGTGGACAAATTAGAAAGAGCCTAAAGGAGAGCAGGAAAGAAAAGAAGAAGAAAAGATTTGCGGTCTAGAAAACACGAAATATGAGGAAAAGTGGGAAGAACTTGGATTGTTTAATTTAAAGAAGAGAACACAGAGTCTTCAAAACACAAGGAGGGAGATCTTAAAAAAAGGTCACAATAGATGTGTGCATGCATGTGCATGGGTCTATCTGGGATTTCGAAAGTGGAGGTGCAGATAGTGTGGCACAACACACAAAAACACAGTTAAAGAAAAACTGGTTTCTTCACTAATATGCAAGGGGCTAGCACTATATTATTCAGTTTAAGATCAAAACAAATACAAATATTTGGAGAAGATTGCTCATTGTCTTAATTCAGGCAGGGAGGTTTTCAAAGACTTTTTTCAGGATAGGCCAATGTTTAAAGTTTGTGGAAGCATTTTCCGGTAGTACAGGCAGTTGGCTAGAACCGCCTAGTTTTATAAATGAAAAAGTATTCTGGTATGGATAATTCTAATTCCAAACTTGAGAATGCTGACTCAACTCCACTTCGGTCCACATCCAATTATATAAACACCAGCAGAAAGCTCTGAGGAGTCAACACTGATGGCACTAGGCTGGAGAACAACATACTTCTGGAAACTGCTTTCAGTTGTTGAGAGGATATGATGTTTCCTGGACTAGTACTGCACTGTCGCGTGACTCAGCTCCGCAGGGGGCAGAGATCTGTGCCGGGGTCTCCTCCCCTCCACTGCCCACCCCGTGCAGCCCCACATCTCCAGGGCAGCGCAGAGCGGGCAGTGGCAGCAAGGAGACCCCTGGCATGGATCTCTGCTCCCTGTGGAGTCGAGTCATGTGGCAGAGCAGCAGCGTATAGCTGTTTACCTGTAAGCCCAGCTCCAAAACTCTGAAATTTTCTGAAACATTTTTGAAACACTTCAGATGCCTTGTTTCGTTTTGCAGCTGTTTCTGAGCCTTCTGTTCTGATTCGGATTCAGTGTTTCAGGTGTCGAAACAGTCTGAAATACCTCCAAAACAAAACAGCTGCCGAAATTTTGCACAACCCTAGGAAACAGTATCTTTGCACCATGTGCTGTATTGATTACACTTATTTAAAAAAAAAAAAGAAAACATTTTGTTCACAACGGTTATCTTTTTTTTTTTTTTTTTTTTTTTTTTTTTAGAAGGTCTATGCTTTATGCAATACACTGTTGTGGCCCCCGTTTGAACAGTGTCATGACTATGTGAGTCCTCTTCCTTTCATGGCCAGTTGCACCAATGACCTCTGCATGTAAGTAAGCTTTTTTTCCCCTGGTAAGTCAAAAGCTAGTAGAAAAAACATTTTCCTTCCATCTGGAAAACATTTTTCCAAGCTTAGGAGATGTAATACTTGCCTTTTTTATTTTTAACATTGTCTCTAATAATTTTTGTACTAAAATAAAATAGGCCAGATTCTCTTCTCATTTATCCTGCTTTTACATTTACAAACCATCACAGTGTTCACTGGAGATAGTCCCACTTTCTTTGGCGTCAAGTGAGGAAAGAATTAGTTTCAGTTACTTTCAGTTGGTTTTAAATTACTTAATTTACCTGTCCTAGACTGGTATGCATTTTGGTGCTAAAAATATCCAATCATTAGCATGTTCTGTTCTTGTGATGCAGGATTACAGCATGGCAAACAAGTAAAAACTTCTAGAAACTGTAAGTGAATCTTACAAAGTAAGAAGATGAATAGTTAACTTATCTACAGTGCTTAAAGATTAGGCTGTCTTCTGGCCATCCACTAAGCAGTTTTGTGTGGACTGCTTCTGACTGTAGTTTAAAAATGCCCTCATCCCCCTGCTTTTCCTGTGGCAAGTTGGAGTATTCAGGCACCGTGTCTAGTAGTTGTGCATGTGGGTTGTTCATGACATTTTAAGAATAGGTTAGACAAATATTTTATAGCAAGATCTGCTTGGGGGAGATAGGGGAAAGGGGAGAGGGGAAGAGAGTGGTATGGCACTTACTGTTGGCTGAACTACCCTTCCCCATCTAGTCTCACTTGGTCTCCCCAAGCTACCACCTAACTCAGTCTGCCAAGCCTGGATGGAATGTTATTATAAAGGTAAGGTGAGTGCCTTCTGGGATTGGGGTGAGACTTTTGGTGCCACTTTTTCTCCTGGTGCTTGTCTTTCTGTTTTAGGCCAATTGGCGTTAAATGCATGCTCCCCTATATCATTCTTCAGGCCCTTGCATAACTTAAGTAATGAGTCTTGTGCCCCAGTGGCACCAGTTGTGGCCTGCTAATGCTTATTGTGACCTCCAGCCTCCCCCAATAGCCATGCCCATGCCTCACAGATGTTACTCAAACTCCATTGGTGGAGACTTCCAGCCCAGATGATATTTTCTGCCTATTCAGGTCCTTAGCCCCTATCTCAGCTTCAGACCTCCGCTGGGCTTCAGCCCCACTGGCCAGATTTCAGCCCTCTTGTCTTTGGCTGTAACACTTGGCCTTAGCTCACTATTTCTAGCCTCCGCTTCTTGGATTCAACCTTCTTTGCACCCCTGCTCCATTCAGGGTTAAAGATGGAGAATGCCCCAGGCACTGTACTGTGTGGCCTCCACAATGCCTTTTATACCAGTCCCAAACCTTCAGTAAAATTCAGGAAACTTCTGACCACCAAGAGAGACAAGTCCAAAATGTACCCTACTGGGAGAACAGAAGTAGCCTTTAAAACTTTTAACCTATCTGGACTAACAGCTTCACCTATCCCTGGGGCATCTTCTCTGGGCCAGAATTTACCCACTCTGCCAGAATGCTGCTTCTCCCTGATACTCCAGGCTGAATATTTCTTCTTTCCTGGGTAAGTTTATATGCTGGCCCAGCTCCACCCCTACTGGTCAGCTGCTCCCTGCCTTGCACCTCTGGCACAGGGGTTCCTTGTTATCTACTTTATAGCCTTGTTTAGCTTCAGCTAGCTCTGCCAGTGGCAGGCCAACATCCTGGATCAGTTTCTCCCCCACCAACAGCTTCTGCACCAGTTAGCAGGCTGTGGTTCATTCTTAGTCTGGAGCTCAGCTTCTGGGCAGTGTATTCTTAGGCAGCTTTTCTCCTTTATTAGCAGGTGGCACCACTACTACAGTTCTTCCCTTGCCTCCTCCACTGAGTTGAATTCTTCTCTTCAGTAGGTTCTACCTGTTGCTGTAGCAGAGATGCCCCTGTCCAAGTTCTTGCCCCTCTGGGCCCCAAAGGTTTGGCCCTTAAAGGGACCTCATAATTTTCTCATGCCCATCAACTCCTTACTAACAGGACTAGAGTTCCCTGGTACATGCTTCATTAGGATGACTTATATGGGGATGATCCTGAGGTCCCTTCCAGCCCTACTTTTCTATGATTCCATGAAAATATAAGATTGTGTGGAGAAAGACACTCTTCTGTGTTTTATATGATTCCAAGCACAGTAATGGCAGCCATAATGCTTTTTTCCAACTTTAGAATCATAGAATCAATGGACCAGAAGGGACCTGGAAGATCATCAAGTCTGGTCCTCTGCTGTAGGCAGGAAGTTAATGAGCTCAAACTAGCTCAACGAGGTGCTTATCCAGCCTCCTCTTGAACACCTCTAAGGATGGTGACTGCACTACTTCTGCTGGGAGTGTGGTCCAGGTTCTAGTTACCCTTACGGAGAAGAAGTTCTTCCTTATGTCCAGTCTAAATCTTCCTTCTGTTAGTTTGTGCCCATTGCTCCTTGTCCTTCCAAGGAGTGTCTTCCTGAAGTGTTGCTCCCCTCAGACCTTGGTGTTCCCCCCCTGACATACTTGTAGGTGTCTATCAAGTCACCTCTCAGCCTCCTCTTACTCAGACTGAGCGAGGCTAGTTCCTGGAGTCTCATATGGCCTATCCTCAGGCCCCTGATCATGCAGGTGGCTCTTCTCTGCACCGTCTTTAGTTTATCCACATCCTTCTTGAAGTGTGGTGCCCAAAACTGCACACAATACTCCAGCTGTGGCCTCGCCAATGCTGAGTAGAGAAGGAGAAGCACTTCCTTGGATCTGTTGGCAACACAGTGGCTGATGCACACCAGAGTTTTGTTTGCCCTACTGGTGACTTCTTTGCACTGTAGGCTTATATTCATCTTCTGGTCAATTGTGACCCCCCAGGTTCCGTTCAGATGCTGTGCCAGCCAGTGGGTTGCTGCCTATCCTATAGTTATGCTGAAGGTTCTTCTTACCTGGCACTTTTCCCTGTTGAACCTCATCTGATTCTGATCAGCCCATAGAACCAGGCTGTCTAGGTCATCTTGGGTCCTTACCCTATCCTCTGATGTACCCACATTTCTCCACAGCTTGGTATTGTTGGCACACTTAATCATAGAGTATTCCACCCCTTCATCCAAGTCATTAATAAATATGTTACAAAGCACAGGTCCAAGCACTGATCCCTGTGGGATGCCATTGAAGACAGCCCTCCAGGATGAGGCTGTCCCATTGACTAAAACTCTCTGGGACCAGCCTCTAAGCCAGTTATCCACCCACCTCACCATAGGCTAGTCAAGGCCGGTACCCTCTAATTTAATTGAGAGAATTTCATGAGCGACACATTCAAAGACCTTACTGAAGTCTAGTTAAATGATGTCTACCTCATGTACCTTGTCCAGCTGGTTAGTTACCTGGTTGTAAAAGGACACCAGGTTTGTTAGGCATGATCTACCCTCCACAGAGCTGTGCTGGTTGTTTCTTAATACCCTGTTAGTTACAAGCTTGTGACTTATGTCCTCCTTAACAATTTTTTCTAAAGTTTTTCCTACGACCAAAGTCAGACTAACCAGTCCATAGTTTGTAGGGTCATCCCTCCTTTCTTAAAGATGGGTACTATGTTGGCCCTCTTCAGGTCATTCGGGACTACTCCCAAGTTCCACAATTTTTCAAATATCTTTGCCAAAGGCCTTGCTATGAGTTCAGCTAGTTCTTTTAGGACTCTTGGATGCAAGTTGTCTGGCCCAGTGGACTTGAAAGTGTCCAATTGTTCTAAGGAGGACCCTCACCTGCTTGGGGCTGATTTCATGTTGTCTGTTGACTTCCCTATATTTTTTGGGCCTCTGGACAGGTGCACAGGTCCTGTTAGCTTTTTGGAATACTTATGTGAAGTAAGCATTTAGGATCTCTGCCTTTTCCTGGGGATCTATTGTGGGCTGCCCCTCTATATTCAGTAGGGGTCTCACAGTGGAGCTCGAATTTTTTTTTCTTTTCTTGTTGTACCCCATGTACCTGTAGAAGGACTTTTTGTTGTTAACTTTGAGTGCTAGCTTGATCTCCATGCATGCTTTGGCTTTTTGTATCTCATACCTGCTGACCCTGGTTATATGACTGAAGCTTCTCTGGTTGCTGATCCTTTTTTTCATTGCCTGTATGTGTCCTTTTTCTTTTTCAAAAGTTCTCTAATATCCCTGTTGAGCCAAGCGGGTCTCCTGGCTCCTTTCCCACTTTTTGATCTCCATGGGATTGACCTCTTTTGAGCAGAGAGGATTGCTCCCTTGAGGAGGCACCATCGCTCCTGAACCCCCAAATCTTCCACATAGTGGTCGCAGAGGGCCTTTCTAACAAGACTCATGAAATTGTTAAAGTCTGCCCTTCTGAAATCTAGGACTTCTGTTCTAGTAGTTGAAATCCTAGCCTTCCAGTGGATGGGGAACCTAATCAGATTGAGGTCACTGTCACCCAGAGTACCACCAATCCTCAGGTCCTGTGCCATGTCCTCTCCTTTGGTAACCACGAAGTCCAGAGTGGCTTCTCCTCTAGTCGGACCTTTGACAACCTGTGACAGAAACAGGTCATCAGTAGTTGCCAAGAAATTGGCTGACCCGCTGGAGCTGGCTGAATGGTCCCTCCAACAGATGTTAGGGTAGTTGAAGTCACCCACGACAATCAGGACTTTAGTGCAGGATACATCAGCCAGTTCCCTGGAGAAAGCCTGATTGTTCTCCTTTTCCTGGGAGGGAGGCCTGTAGTAGACTCCCACCATCAGGTCTCCCTCTCCTGAACCCCCTTCTATCTTGACCCAGAGGGTCTCAAGGGACCTCTCCCCACTATCAAACCTGACCTGCAGGGAGGGGGACAACTCTTTCACATAGAGGGCCACCCCTCCTCCCTTCTTCCTAATGCAATCCTTCCTGTAGAGCCTATAGCCGTTGATATACACTACCCAATCATGCGTCTTTGTCAACCCTATGAGGTCTATCAGGAGAGCCAGTTCCTCCTGTCTGTTGCCCATGCTTCTGGCATTCACATAAAGGCACCTGAGTTCTCCTCTGGTCACCTCAGGTTTTCTGTCACTATGCAAGTATAGTGGGCATTGGTGCTCATCTTAGTTGGTGCTTTCATCTTAGTATTTTTTCTTGAGAATTTCTTTTAATTTAAAAAAAAAGGTCAAGAACCCAGTTCTCTCAATGTTTTATGCTACTATAAATCTAAAATAGAGTTGTTCCTAATTTATATGGCTATAAATTAAATCAGAATGAAGACTAAGGTATGTAGATCAGCAGTCTCCAAAGCAAGGTAGAATACTTTATCTGCCTAAGAATTTTAGGTCATTTAACTAACCCAGTAGTTCAAAACGTTAGTCATATAAAACCAAAAAGAATATGTTAATTGCCAAAACAAAACAGGGGTTAGAAAATCAGTAAAGCTTTGGTGACACATTTGTAAGACTGTAGGGAGAAACTAATGTCACGGTAATTTTTATTTTGTATAAGGTCAGCATCTGATAATGCAACTTGGTGTCGAGCATTAACTGAATATGCCAGGGCCTGTGCCCATGCAGGAAAACCTCTTCACAGGTGGCGGATGCACTTTCAGCAATGTGGTATGCAGACTTTTACATACTTTAGGGATAGGCATATTTTAATTATGTGCAACATAGCCATTGGTTGCACTTCACTGTCTGATTAATATGCATATTTAGTCTTTACTTAAGAATCCTTCATTATTAATGGTTTGATATAAATGTAAGGTATTAATAAAATGTTAAATGCTTTTTAAAAATTACTTTAGAATATCTTAAACATTAGTTCATATGGAAATATTGCAGGTCTTTCTTAGGAAATTCTTTGGCTTGCTTATTATAAGACCACTGTTTCAAATATTAGGAATCAAAGGACTTTTGATCAAACTATAAACAACTGTGAAAAGAGCATAAACATATTCATTAATACTTGGACAATTTACTAGGGCAAATCTCAAACTTATTTAGGAAAAAGGAAGCTATGTGAAAGCAACATGATATTTTCTTGCACTGAGGTGGTAGCATAATGCCTTTCCATTTCTCAGCCTGTTTCATTTTTCAGTTATTACCTGTGATGAACAATTCACCTACAATGAATGCATCAACTGTTGCCCAGTTTCATGCCAGCAAAAAACACAATGTATTGACAGTGAGCTTCCCTGTGTCGATGGATGTTACTGTCCAGATGGTAATACAGCTTTGTTTCTCAAATATTTTTATTCTATAGCTAAATTTGACCTCATCAATATGTGGGACATGAGAGGATCTAATGGAGCCAGGAGACATTAAAGACAGTTTGAGGTTTTAGGTATTCCCTTGCATAGGAAACCCGTTGTGCCCACTGTGGACAGTAGCCTCCTTTCCCTTTCAGGTAGAGATGTTCCTTCCCCTCCCTCTTCATGCAGTCAGTAGGAGAGCTGAACCCTCAGTGTCACAATACAGCTGCAGGATGTCACACCCAGGCCACCTCTGATCTGCCACTTCCAGACAGTAGAGTTCTGTCTCTCCAACTAGACTGGCTGCTCCATGTTCAAGAGTGGCTGTGGTTGGAGTGGGAATGCTGCATGGTGGGATGCCTGAAGGACTGCATAGCTACCTTATCCCAGGACTCTGGCCAGACACAAACATGCTCTGTGGTATCCTGGGAGAAAGTGATGGTGCATTTTATCTCTCATACTTTGACATCATTTGACCCAGAATAATGAACACACACATCTGTAAATGTTGATTTAGGCACTGGACAAAATACTTTCTCTCAGGAGAAATATGTTGGGTCTCTAACTGGCTGTAGTGGCTGCTACTTATCCCTATAGTTGAGGCTGTCTTTAGATATGGAAAGACTTCACAGCATTAGTTATGCTCATTTCATATTATTAAGCCCTTTCTTGTAACCAACAGATTAGAAACTTTTAAAATGAAAACTAAGATTTTGATAACATCACATGATTGAGAGCCAGAGTCCTTAATGTATGCTTTGCATGTCTGTGTGTCAGCTCTGTATACACGCTGGAAGACATTTTACCTTTATTCTCCATTTATTACTGCCATTTACAGGATATGCAACTCTCCTTACCCTTCTAGATTGGAAGGGTAAATAGACAGAATAGGGTGGTGTTGCTCTGTAAATCTTAAAGGTAGTGTTCTAGCTAATATCTTACAGGTTTGTAAGTGTAATCAGTTTTTGTATTTGTTTAGCTTCCAGTGGGCTACTTACATTTTTCAGTCCTTGGCTCAGTACTGGAATAATATTAATTTGAATATACATTAAAATTGTAAAATAAGTAGCAAACAATACATTGAAGTATGTGGTCGAGCATCAAGAGTATAAAAAATGGGCATTTAACAACAGCCACCAAAATCCATCAAACATTGAAATGAAGTAGCATAACTTTCAAAGCTGTAAATGCCCTGCAACTGACAATGACTTCAGTGACAATTTGGGGATCAAATCATTAAGTTAAATATTAATTTTGTTCTGACAAATGAAAAAAATCCTTTGAAATAGTCTAAAGCTTAATTATTTCACAGGTGCAGACGCTTTACTATTAGACACTAGTTAGCCAAAGAATGCTCTTTCAGCTGTTAGTGGAGATTATTTACAATTCCTTTTCATGTTGGACTATTTTTCTAGGTCTAATTTATGAGAATGGACTGTGTGTCAACCCAACAGAATGCCCTTGTGACTACCATGGAAGTTTCTATAAAATGGGCTCTGTAGTGCATGAGGAGTGTAATAACTGGTTAGTCCCTTCACTTTTCTTACAACATACCTGATTTAGTTAGTTAATCTTTCTTATCCTATAGTTTTTAAAATTATAATCAATTATCTATAATGTATGTCCTTCTCACCATATTTGCTCGAATCCAAGGCAAGTTCCCCTCTCCCCTCCTCCAGACAAAATAGCAGGAAAAAAGCCTTATCTTAGATTTAAGTACCAGCCTGGAGTAGGCAGCGAGTCAGCTCCAGATTTGGCCCTGGGCTTCTGGGGCCAGAACTGAGCTGTTGCCTGCCCCCAACTGGGGAGTCGCTTGTTTGGGTGGGGGGAGACGCTGCAGGATGGTGGGGAAACCTGCCCCCTGCCATCCAGCTGCCTCCTTTCCCCCTTACCTTCTGCTTTGGCTCCAGGAGCTGATGCCACCTCTCCCTGTCTGGCTTGGGCTAAGGCCAGACCAGGGATGCTGTTGCTTCTTGCTGTCCCAGAGCCAGAGCAGAGCTGCAGTGGAAGGTAAGGAGAGGGGAACTGGAAGTGTGGGGAGTAGGCACAAGGGACAGGTGGAAGGGGTCAGGGACAGGCACAGTAAGAGTAAAGGATGAGGGACAGGCTGCAGGAGAGAGAAGGGGTGGAAAGGCAGGGAATAAGGGAAGCAAACACAGGCATGAGGGGAAAAGGATAGGAGGCAGGCACAGGCACAGTGGAAAGGGGTGGGGTGCAAGGCTGTAGGGAGGAATAGGAGGTCAGGGGTCAAGCAACTGGGGGAAGGGGCAGGTAAGGAGGGGCAGTCAGCAGGGGGGCATGAGGCAGAAGAGCGCATGGCAGGGGGCAGACAACGGGGTGGGTGGAGATAGAGGTGAGCAAGAAGCAGGAGTCTAGCCCCTGGCTCTGCCACTGCTTTTCCCCTAGCAATTGGGAGGGGAGGGAGGAGGAATTTAAAATGATCTTCTATTAATTAGATTTGCAACATTGAAAATTATAACAAATTTATAATTTTCCATGTATAGAATCTAAGAATTGTAGGCATTGTCCTAAGTTTGAAGCTGTTTTCGATTTGGGTAAATATGGTATTTTGAGACCATGAGTTTATTCTTAGATTATGTAAATATATTAGAACAAGAGAAAGACGAGTGACAATATTTTCATCATACATTGAAAAGGTGACACTCCTGACTGTTATAATTAAAATGCTGTGTTGATTTAGGCATTCCATAACTGCATATACTGCTTTTCACACTTAAAAAATGTGGAAGAAATGGATGCTGATAGATCAGGGGTGGGCAAAATATGGCCCGCGGGCCAGATGTATCACACAAAGCCATTCTATCGGACCCATGGGGCCCCTAAAAATGTAGAAAATTAATATTTCTCTGACTTTGGTTCCTGTAAAAAATGACAGGAACCAAGGGCAGTAGGACCCAGGGGAAGCCCGGTGGGCTCCAACAACAGTGGGCCCACCCAACCCTGCCCCCAGCTGGGGCTTCTGGCCTGGGAGCAAGTAGCGCTGGAACCGCAGGTAAGCTGTGGGGGGGAGAAGGGCAAGGGGGACCCTGGACAGGGAAGGAGCTTGCGGGGCGGGGG